TTTCCTCCCCTGAGGTCTATAATAAAAATGTCCATTATCATAAAAAGGTATTCCGGTGGTCACTTGTTGAATTCCTAAATTTTGGATACATGTATTTCTTTCTTATATCAAGAAAAGGAAACCTAAAAAAAATAATAGACTTTACAAAGATGTGATATTAAAATAATAATAATAAGTAATTAACCTCTCTGTTAAACCTTTACTATAATCATTATGATACAGATGAAGATGAACTTAGCTGGGATTTATTCCCTCTTAATTTTACTTTTTCGAAAATAAGAAAGTTCAATTGCAAATTAAAGGTGATTACCTAATGCACCGCCTCTGGTAATTAAGTTGTATTTGTACTTACCTATGATATAATCTTGAAGAAGCATTTTCAACAGGTCTTTTACACATAAAGCATGTTTTCACCATATTATTACAGATAATAACTCTTCAATATACATTTAAAACCCTTACAAGGCTATAAATAATTATATTTTTCGTAAAATACAAATCAATAATTGACATGTGTCAGAAAGTGTCAGAACGAGGTCACAACCTCACTGTCAAACTTGGCAACGCTGATTAAATAAGCCAATTACAGAAGAGGTATTTCCCCCCTCGGGGGGAGTAGATGTTGCTAACAAAATTTAACGCGGGGAAGGGGGGAAGACTCCCTCTAGTAGTAATTGCTCGGAGTTTACAGCGAAACTGATTTGTGAGGGGAAAGGTGATTGTATTTTATTATTATCCGAGGCAACGACTATATACTACAGGATAGCCCGAGTTCTCAATTCGTTACCCATAGCGGCGAAATCGTTACGTCACTATCAGTACACTTTTAGACGCAGGCTATTTGAAATGTACAGAGATATATCACCTTTTTTGAAATAAAGCCGTTTAACTTTTTTATATATAAAAAATAATTAACTGTTTTGTTGTATAGATACGAGGTAAGCACCAATAATTCCCGGCCTGACAATGAAGGAGGCAAAGTACAACAACAACTTTTTATTATTTTTCAATGTAATCTCCCTTAACCTCAATGCACTTCTTACAACAATTCAATGCCTTTAAAAAAATATGTATTCTTTCAGTTTATCCTCAAAATGGGCCAAAACAGCTTCTTGTAACTCAAAATCGTCCCGAAAACGTCGCCCGCGAGGGTCCTTTTTCAAATAAGTAAACAAATAATAATCGCTGGGAGCCATATCTGGACTATAAGGAGGGTGATCTATATTTTGAAACCCGAAATCTAGGATGGCAGCTTGTGTAACGTCAGCAGTATGAACGGGCGCATTGTCGTGCAACAACCGCATGCCTCTGGTTAATTTTCCTCGGCGTTTTTCCCGAATACATTCCCACAACTTATGAAGTAATGCGGCATAATATGTGCCATTAACGGTTGTATTTGTCTCTTTAAAATCAATCAGAAGGATTCCTTCACAATCCCAAAAGATCGTAGCCATTACCTTTTCCGTTGATTGGCAGACCTTACGGCGCCACTCCATTGATTCCCTTTTTGACAGAGGATCATAATAAAGAACCATAGTTTCATCTCCAGTGACTATTGTTTCCAACACGGGGTTCGGATCATCTCCACACAGTTCCAAAAACGATCGAGCACACTCGACACGACGTTGCTTCTGAATCGCCGAAAGGTGTTTGGGCACCCATCTTACACTAACCTTATGCATACCCAAATGATCATGGAGCATTCGGCGAACAGTGGTATCAGAAACTTGGTCATTTCTGCCATTTCCTTGACCTTCAAACGTCGGTCACTTAGCACCAGGTTTTCCAAAAGGGCCACTTTGTCCTCCGTTATCACCTCCACTGGCCGTCCAGGTCTTTCGTCATCTTCAAGGGATTCCTGACCCATGCGAAAACGTTTTGTCCATTCCTTCACTACCGAATAGGAAGGGGAACTTTGGCCATATACGCCATCGAATCTTTCTTCAATAATTTTAGGTGTAAGCCCTTCTTTTGTTTAAAATTTAATAACCGCTCTGTACTCAATTTTCGTCACCTGAGACGTTTTCGGAGATACTTAAGTTCAAAATGCTGACAATTAAAAACTATTTGACGTAAGTCGCTTATTTTGTTACCACAGCCTACTAAGGTTTGTAGTTATAAAATGTTAAACTTTTATTCTGATAAAATATCTGCAACTATGTCAGGCCGGGAATTATTGGTGCTTACCTCGTATGTATATATTTTATTAGTTTATTACCAGACTAAATCCGAATATAATGTATATTTTATCGCTTCATAAAAGCAAATATTATGTAATTACACATGGCTTGCAAATATATAACAATTTTTTTTTAAATGAATAAGAATAAGGTACTTATAAGAAGAGGATAAGATGTAATATAAAAAGATTTTACTTTTTCGCAACATATACAGTGTGTCGCCCAAATCGGCACCATATGAGAAACTTTTTTATTGCAAGTTCTACAACAAAAAGTTAATTTTTATAAAAAGTTCTACATAAAACTCTCAGATATAACTTTTTTGAGTAGTATCTGAGGTGCGTCATAAAATATAAATTCTGCTAAGGCTAAAGTACTTTTATTTTTGACAAACCTCGTATACGACTGATAAAATTTTATATCAGATGGACGTATTGTAGTTTTAAGGCCATGCTCAACTTTTCACGAAGAATAACTTTTTTTTCATAAAATTAATAATAAAAAAGTTAAGTCGGCTATTGTGCCGATTTAATTGGACACACTGTATACTAAGTAAAAAAATAGATTTACTTATTTTCTTGTATTATTTATTTAACTATACCTAATAATAATAAAAAAATAAATACCGAGTTTAAACAAATGGCATATTAAAAAAATATATGCTCAGTTAAACGCTTTCCTGAAATGTATTTTTTAAAAACAAAACAATTAACATTAAAAAAAATTTTAATCACTATTTATTGTTACAAAATATTAAAAAAATATATTAAAACTTTAAAATACCTAAGCTGTCAGATATGGAAAAATTTGTTACTAAATAGCTTTACGAAAAAAGTTCTTAATAAATAGTTCTGTCACAAATTATTGAGATTAAAATTTGTAAAGTGTTCATTAGTATACAGGGAGAATAAAAATGATTTATGGTGGAGAGTAAAGCACTTTCAAATTTCAGTATTTATTAAAAATGTCTGAAGGAACTAAAAAATATGCTTAATCATTTTACTTATTTTTTAGCGTTTTCGTCTTATTTTGTTGCATTCATAAAACAAAACCAATGCTAAGGTATTCAAATTTTATGAATGTTTAAGTGATGCAAAAAAATTTTAAAAATATAAACGATTTTTTTTGTAAAACTAATTACAAATGTTTCCATATGCTAGCTATTTTTAATTTGCGAATATTTTTTGTCATTATCTGGTAAAGTTTTCTTTTAAAATACCTTTACTATCCAGGGGTAGAATTCTCGAGTCTCGCATGAAAATTGTCGCATGCGAATCGAGATATTCGACATTCGAGAATACTACCCCTGGGGTTTTCTAAAACCCCGACGTCATAGGTTTAAACACACCCCTAAATAGGTATTATTTTTTTACGGGAAATTTATATGTTTTGTCATATTCTGGTTATGTGTCATTTAATCTGCTACTTGAAGACTACTTTTTCTAAAAATAGCAGTATTCTAAAACCCCGGCGTCATAGGTTAAAAAGCACCCTTAAAAGTTTATTATTATTTTAAGAGGAAACGGCGATTTGTGCTACATTCTGATTAATTGGGATTTAATCAGGTACTTCATGACTACATTCACTGAAAATATCAGTTTTTTAAAATCCCGGCGTCATAGGTTTAAACGCACCCCTAAATATGTATTTTTAACAACCATACGAATTTGGGATGCGTGTGGTTTGGCGAATGGACTCAGTTCCCGCAGTCAAAAAATTCAAATTAAAAAAAAAAATTGGGATGCGACATTTGCCGTGTGCGATAATTTTCATGCGAGACTCGAGAATTCTACCCCAGGCCCGAATTTTAAAATATTACTTGCGCATATTTTTTCAAATAAGAATTCCAGTTTATAACTCAGAAATCTGCCCAGGCAATGCAGTCTAAAACAACAGACAATGATTTAGAAAATATGTGTCAATGTTTTATTAAGAAAGCTTACCAAATCTATTCAAATATGTTAAAAAAAAAAAATAAGCAAAAATATCCAAATACTATTCAATAAAATAAATTTTAAAACCACGATATTTTTTAAAGTTAATTCACACAAAAACCATTGAAAAACACAAAATATTAATAATTCGATATTTTTGTAAATTAATTTATTTTAAAAACACAAATAATCTCTAAATTCTATTAAAACTATTAAAAAACACAGAACCGCAATGTAAACTCATAAACTATTTATAAGGTATTTTTAGCGGCATAAACCAACATGAAAGTTTATGATAGATTATGTTATTTAGACATTTATAAATGACCTAATCTATCATAAAAATACCTTTTTCTATAGTAACCTACTAGATTCTGTACTGATGAATACGTCATCAAACGCACGGGACATAAGGCAATGTAATTTCTTATGAAACTAGTCTATCCAGTAGTATATAGTACCACAAAACAAAATAATCGATTTCTATTGTAGAATACGATAAGTAGATTTCTAGATGACACAGTACCACCCCAGAAATGCCAGGAAATATCCCTTGTCAAGAAAAATCCAGATTGTTTCAGACAGTTCTAGAAGGTTAAGTAAGGCGAGCTATATAAGTCGATGATCCTGACGTCAGAGCCTCGTTTTTATGATAGACATTATACGATAATGTTATCAGTTGTGTAGTTGATTTATTGTAAAAGTTGATTTGAAATAAATTGAGATACCAAAAATTAGCGTAAAAATATTTTTTTTCAAACAGTTTTCTATTTCTTTGAATTTACAGAATCACTAATTACTACTTCTAGAATCCACATACACATTAATATCATTAATCTCCTTTGCCTTATAGTCGTAAGAAATTCCTAATATTTTCATTTGTTTCAGAACCCCCCAGTATGGCGGGAGGCTGAACCCAAAATGGCGCCTTGGCACAGGTTTCAATGATGGCGCGTCATGGCGCCACTTTTATTCTGCTGGCTGGTCTATTCAGCCTGAAGACGGTCGCCGACCAGACGAAATGTCCTAGTTTAGCGGCGAATCCTTCGTGCCAATGTTTCAATTTCGAAAATGGAATTCTCTTGGAGTGTCCAGCCGCCACGGCGGAATCAGTCAAATCGGTTTTGGAAATCATCGAAGGATCCGTCCAAAGCCTCAATATTTATGATCCAGACAAAACAATGGTAAGTCAGTTAGTTACATAAGATGTTTTCAGTTTAATAGTTATTACTATTACTTTATTATTAATAAAACTATAACACAGTAGAAATTGGTAGATATCTACCTACAAATCACAAAATTACCAAATTACAAAATACTTATGCTGCTAATTTATTAATAACTGATAATTATCCATAAATTTAATCAAAAAGATAATGGTGATTCGATGTTAATTTCACACAGAGTAAAGTAATGTGATTATTTAGTATGTATGTTTACCTGTATTTATGTCAATGAAAATTATTTTTTAAATTTAAAGAGAAAATGTCATTTTTATTGTTTATAATGAATACTACTCCTAAAATATTCGACAAATATCCCCTTGTTAAGCTGATCATATAGTAAGGGTAAAGTCAAATTTGAAACAATTAAGGAATATTGGCATAAAATAATATACGAGAAGTATTTATTTGAAGATCTTACTTTTAAAATTTACACAAATTTAAAAATGAATGTAAAAGAAAACAAATTCTCCCGTAGAGAAAATGGTCTTATACTCCATAACAAATAAAAAGCGAATGAAAATATTACATAAATTTGAAATAAAAACAATTTAATTGGGTTTCAAAGAATTGTTAAAATCGTGGATATAACTTTAACTTTAACGTTTAATTTAATATTTTAAAAAACTAATTTGAAATGTTTGTGACCCAATATATACAAAAAAATCTGATGTGTCCAACACATGACTTTCCTATCTAGTTATATTACGGGCTTTTTCCGGTTATTTTGTACAACCTATTGCAGCACCTCTATAAATGTTTAGAGGATAAACTAAATATATATATTTTCCACATACATCTACCTCGAAACATTTTTCCATAGATATTCATTGAAAACGAAATACTAAAAAATTTTAATATAGCACTTTTCCTACAATTTTTCCATTTTATAAAAATCATGTTTAAACAAAAATTATAAAGATCGATATCGCAAACAACTTTTAGTTTAACAATTTTCTTAAAAATCAGAATTTTGCACATTTTGTCAAATTTTTCGAATACGGACCATTTCAGGAAAATTTGGCATAAAACAAAAATTATAGATATTAGCAGTAACTTTTATTTGAAGAATTTTCTCATCCAAACATAAATAACATATATTCCATAAAATATAAAAACGGACTCTCATAAAGTACCCCCCAGATGTTCCGACTCGGCCCGTTTATTATTTGACGTTTTTCTGTGTATCGGTTCATTAGTTATGCGACACACACGCACGCACGCACGCACGCACGCACGCACGCACGCACGCACGCACGC